ATTGAAATATACTACAGTAAACAACATTTTAGTTGTCGTGCTTCATAAATTCAACCCAAGCCTAATAATCATATAAAAAACAATACTCAATAAATGTCTAATTTATGCCTAAAAAAAGCTTATAATAAAATATGAATATAAAAATTAGCGCCTTTTTTTCTAATGAATTTGTTTTTACTTGTATAAGTATCAGAGTCGAGATGTTTAAAACGTGTTTTAAACATCTAAATTAATCAAACATGATTTTGTTTAAAACATTTAAAACAAATGATTTAAACAACATAAAAAAATCAGTACCTACCTAGTTAAAAACAAAAAAACATCATTTATGTGCATATAACTTATAATTTATAAGTTCATACTGGCAACTCCTATTTATTATTATATTTTGTTTCATAAAAAAATTTGAAATTTATAACATTTACAATAATAATTTTAATTATTCAAATTACTAACAGTATACTTCTAAGGTTCTATTACTTCTGTAGTTCTGTAGGTAATATATTTGTTTAGTTTTAATTTTTAATACCTATTTCATTTACAAATTATAGGTACAAGTGTACAACACAAACTTAAACAACTTATACAATATTAAAATGTACTGTTTAATGTTTACTGTTTAGTCATAACAGCTAACACCTAACAAGTCATATTGTAAAGCATAAGCTATTTGCCTATAATCTATATAGAAATTAGAAACAGAATTATTAAAATTACATACCAATAAATAACATAACATAACAAAATTATATTTCATTGATATCATATTATTACCTATATCATATTTCATAATCGGAAATCTGAAATATTGTGGCGCAAGCCAGTTCAAAATATTAATATTATATTATTCTTTATCACGATGTAGGTAACAGATCAGTCCTTTATCATCAATTATTATCAAAAACGATTTTTAAGTCTAAAGCCGTGTTTAAATTACACGTCAAATTATAAAAAAAATTAAGATATTAAATAGATTTTTTTTTTTAAAAATAAATTACATATTTTGTTTTAGACTCGACAGTTGAAAAAAACATGTTTTAAAATATTACAACAGTTTTTTTGATTTTTTTAATCAACTCTAATAAGTATAGTATTGATCACACGATTTTCCTTTATTAACTAATACATTATTGCAGTAGGAGAAGACAATAATTCATCAACACCATAACTAAGAATTAACAATTTATTCTATTTGAAGTTGGCAAACTGCAAGTGGCTAGGTACAATACCTGTGCGTGTGTGTGGTACGATGGTTATTTGTATTTTATTGACTGTTATAAAAATTAGTAATGAATTCCAAAAAAATATTGCCTCAGATCATTATGATTTATGTACACTGGCAAAAATCCTATATATTTGTTTACATTATACAATATACATATACCTTTCATGCAATTAAAAAAAAACTATCAAATTGTATAAATAAAGCTATTGATTCATAGTTTTAAATATAGATATGGGTCAATAGTCAATACCAACTAAATAATATATTCGATATGGGCAAACGAATAATAATTTTATTAAACTTTTCGTCTGTAATAAAAAAATGAACATAAACTTTTTCGAATTTAAAAATATAATACAAATAATATGATGCTGTACAAGAAGGAATAAAATAATAAGGTTTATTCTGTAAATAAAAAATTGTTTAGCTAAATCCAAGTTTTTAATTTTAATAATTTTGAAGGGGATATTATAACGTAACGACTCGACTTGTCCATTAACTTTTTAATGCCAGTACGTTTATTATTATAATATTAATTATCAATTATCATACAATTCCATAAAATACCAATTACGGTTATTTTTTTTATTCATAAGCATAACACTATATTTGTGTAAAGAACAACATTATAGCAGTTTATCGACTACATACACTTGTAGGCGTAGGTATTGCTGTGCATCAATTTAATATCTATGTATAGATAATAAATACATTTTTTTTACGGAAATTGAAGTATTAATAATTAATATAGATATAATAATATTATTACAACGAGTACTCGATCTTTAAATTATATTTTCTTCGCATTCTAATAATATATTTGGATTTTATATTAATATATGTAATAATATACAGGTATGCGTGAGCTATCTAACAGTTTGGGTAAATATAATTGTTTTTTCCCCCAAAGTACCATAACAATTAGTTACCAGTTACAAAAGACACGCATTATACCTTATTTCTGTTACCAAGTTTAGTGACGATCGACCATATAGGGATCGTTTACAACAACATAAAGGATGATCACCCCATTTTTCTTTAATAATGCAGTTATTCAAATTTCGATTTTTCTAATTTTTAAATATACTTAAAGATTATATTTTCAATCTTGAGATTATTTTTTAATATCTAAGGGTTGTCCCGTTTCCCGTGGAGATGCAAACTTCTGTTTTTTAAATGAGAACCCCCCCCCCCCCAAAAAAAAAAAAAATACTTTCTAATTACTACTGTACATTATTTAGCACAAGCAAGTATAGTGCTATTGTTATTTAATTTTGCTTCCAGGGATTGTAAGTCCATGAAAATGGGTTCAGAAGATATAGGGATTGGGGGCTATGGTGATTTAATAATGCTATAGTAATTTATATTAATTTATCAAAATTTATATTTTTTAAAAATTGTCCAAGTACCTACTTATGTACCTGTGTATAATAAATACTAGATCCAGGATTAAATCAGTTTTATATTTATGTAAATTAATTTTTGAGGAATATTATCCTTAGTGTTTAAGATGAATTTTTTAATAACTAAGAATTTACTCGTTTGAATTTTATAGGTACTCCAGAATTTTCAAAAAAAATGATCTACTAAATAATTATGTGCAGTAAAAACCGCGTTTCTCGTTTGAAAAACAGAAGTTTGTAACGCCATAGGCCACTGCTTGGTTAAGTTATACAACAATCTCCAAAATATGATAAAATGGTCTTTAAGTACCTATGTATATTTGGAAATTCCAAAAATCAGAATTTGATTAACTGCATTATTAAACGAAAAAGCGTGCTTGGTAAATCAGTCTGTATAATAATAATATGTAAGACGTTTTCAAGTTGGTAAAGCACTGCAGTGGGCTTTGTGCGTCAAACACTGCTCTCCTATATTAGACATCAGCTATTATAGAGACGTCTTGATATGTATAATAGGTATACTGGTATGTAAAAGTCTGCCTCGTGCTGTTGGAAATCGTTTAAATAAAATACAAAATCCACTCGAAACAACGTCCCCTCCGGTTCGTCTATAAAATAGACTCTATATTATAATAAATACGGCGCACTAAGTAACAATTATATTATTAAGACGAACTGCGTTTTATTATGTCAGTCGAATGTTCGAGAGAGATGCACTCCTCGGGCACGTATCGCATATTGCATAGTACCTAATAGGTACAAATTATTATACAGTGACTTGTGATCGCTTATTTTTTAATGTTTACACGGCTACGTTCACGTTACATGTTAAGTATAATCACATAGGTTTTTACATACTATATAAACATACAGAACAACGAACCTATAAATTCGCTCACTACTTATGGTTTATACCGCACCGTTACGCCAGACAATGAACTCGTGCACTACACTGGACGAGAACTCACCACAGGGAAACATAAATTTCATGTAATAGGTACTATAATATAATATAATATACAAGTATAATGTGTTATAATATAATATCATTTACTATATGTGGTTGGTATACACCAAACACATATTATTAGAAAATAATTCACAGGGCTTGTCTTATATTCAAGCCATAGGTTATAAGTTGAGGCCGGAATTATATTATTTTGCATATTTTGTTTGTCTATTCAGTCAGTCAAAATCTTTATAAATCGTGAAAAGTGAAATTTAATGGCAAGTTTTTTTTTGCATATTTAAGAATATTTTAAGATAAAAAATATTTCACATAATATAGAATATTAGAGAATATATCGATTAGTTTTACAGATTTTCAATATTTTGTGTTGCAGTGGTGAAAATAATATAAATTATATGCCCGATAGTAATGATAAATATATACGAATTACATATTTATATACAAACGTATTATACCCCATATAGTAATTTTATTTTCTGTAGATAACGATGAAAAATTGTCTTAATTAAAAATATACCATTAATCTAATTTAATTAAATCAATGAAATGTTACCTTATATAAGTTGAAGTTTTTTTAAGCAGTTTTATTTTTTCTTACCTATATATACCTATTTATATTAGTATTTTTTGTATTATGCATTTTATTCTTTTGCATATTTTACTATGATTTTTAAAGAATATTTTCAACTTTCTAAGAGAATATTTGCATCTTATTTTGACTATTTTAAAAGAATATTATTCCGGCCTCTAGTGATAAGTTTAAGTATCAGTTATAGGGTTACTGTTTTATATGATGACAAACGCCCCACTGTTATTGTCACTAAGAAAAAAAGTTTTGATTAAGAAACTACTGTTTTAGTTTAAAATTATGATTTTTGACTGAAAAATACTTGTATGAATAATACAATAAAAAAAAACAATGATAATCTAAGCTCCAATAATACATTTAAATTTGTACCATATCACTCATTTACTTGTTAAATTGTCAACCAGAAAAATGAACTGAACATATTTCATGAACTTCGATCTGTCAATGGATAGATACTAGCCAATCGAGCTTCTAGGGGTCTTAGAAGTGGTTATTATGTTATTGTGAAAATTGTGATCTTAAATCATACATATAATATTATATTATAATAAGTTATATATAAATCTAATCTATAGTTATATTAATTGTTGTTATTAATATCAAATAATCATAAAAAAACATAAATTGTTATCACGTACTTTGGCGGCTAGGAGGGAGAGTGATCTATGATCATTGATCCTAGAAAAGCCAAGAATCGTACTTTACCCATATAGTCGTGTAAGATATTTTGTTAATGGAATGGATAAACTTGTGCAGTGGATATACCGGAAAATACGAGGTAATGGTAAAGTTCTAATAACATGGGTTTTACAGGAATATGAAGAAGATGACGAAGACGAAAATGACGACGATAACGATGACGTCGGAGTAGTAATTTCGGGAGAACCGACGGAAGTGGTGACTGATACGACGGCGGTGGTTGTGTTGGAGACTGTAGTCGAAGAGGACGACGATGACGGTGACCAGCAACTTAACCTTGGACCCATCGAGTTCGTAGCTGGTGACGGACAAAACGTCGAGCCACAGATTTCAAACTCTCCGGTAGGATGTCATACGGTTTACGGCTACTTGCCTTAAGATAGTTGGAACGTCGATTTATTATAAATTATAATATACTATAGTTACTATACAGTATACATAAATCATTTGCTGAAAAATTCCCAGTATGTATAGTGAACTTCGTAAATTAAAAATTGAGAACCTGCATATAAAATATAAAGTGCACGAATCATACACCAAATTTCAAGTTGCTAGTTAAGAGCATTTTCCCTTTTTCTCAATAATTTTATTCCAATTTTCTTTTTATAATATAATTAATATAAGTTTGTATTTTAAGTTAATTTATTTTATTTAATTTATTATTATTAACGCTTCTATACCACTAATCACTATGTTACTTTTGCTTTTTAGTATGCTATGTTAAAAATATTTGCTTTGATTTTGATGGCCTCCGAAAATTTTCAAAACTCTTAATGTGGCACTCCGAAGATATTAATTGGTGAGCCCTGCTATAGACGTACAGACGTACAGTATACCTACCTATAGATTTTCAAGGGTGGTTCGTTCCCCACCAATAACTTTATTCTACAGGTAGCAAACTATAATATAGGTAACACCTATTGATATGAATTTTCGTTAAGTATTTAGAAATACCAGTTTAAATTTCAAAATTTGGTCAAAAACGGGTATAGAAAAGTTTATATTAATAACATATTATACAGGTACATACAGCTCATCTGTAACAGATTATTACAAATACAATTATGGCATTGGACACCCACATCCTGTATATGAATGAAAGATATTATTGTAAAAATAAAAGGGAGAAATTTATAATCATTACGTCCTCCTGCTATAGTGGCGTCGAGTGTCTATATAGATGCTTGTGACTTGTGAGACCATGCAATGGAACCGCCTAAAACATTATATGCTAGTGTGGGCAAGTAAAAATAATTTATAGAGTAAAAGAAATACTTTTACTCTTCTCACATAAATGCATCATATGGATATTTGTTCAATAAATCATTATAAATTATTTAGACTTTATAATAATAATGAGATTCGGGATAATTAATTTCCTACTAAAAATTATAAACGATACTCTTGGAATAAACTAATATATTATAGGTATTCACTAAATTGGCATATTGCTATAAACTATTGAAAGTTTCCTCGTCACTTTAGCTCATTAAACGAACCCAATCAGTGCATATTTAATGTAGCATATATTATTGAAGTATTGTGTTTTTTTATTGTGGTGTCTCCGGATTGGCCTCAAAGAATGTTAGAACTTCGATAGGATACACTGTCAATAATTGTATTACCATAATACCATATTATACATGTTTTAAGTCCGAATAACATTCGTTAAAATAAAAACTATGATATAATTATTATTATTTATATAATATGTATCCATAAGCTGACCTAAATTCAGAATTCTCCCATTATCCTCTGTTTAAGCTGTGTCCAATTTAAGACGTGTGTTTGCAGAAACTAAAACAAAAGGTAAATTTAATACAAAGTACATTTTACTTGACATGGATGGATCCAGAAAGCCTAAAGCCTGATAATTGTAACTTAGGTAGAATCGATATTATTGCTAAAATTACTTCACCAAGCTAAACCTAGAGTATACGATATAATAATTATTAATTGTAAGTTATTATAAAATAGACATAAATTGGAAGGATGACTTGGGGATGAGTAGCACCCTCAGTTAGAAATTATCACTCTCATAATTCATGCCATTTATGGACCAACTGAAAAAATAAGTGTCTTCAGCACCCCTAGTTTTTTCGCTGAAATTGTGCCATTGGTAGTTAGTAATATCATCACAACTCAACCGCATTTCTTTTCATCATCATTAAATATGGACATTCATTCATGTATTTACTGACTCAGTGTTATGTCCGTCTTTGTTGAATACAAAATATATACAATATCTAGGTAGCTTTTTATGTAACTATAAATGACCAAAACGATCAAATAGTTCAATAATCAAAGTCTAATCACGATACCTGCAACTTATATTCTTTAAAAATAAATAAAAATTAAACACTTAAATTAACTTAAGTTAAAAAAAACTTTTGCTAAAAATACTACCCAAAAAATACTAAAAAATTTAAACAATTGATGGTTGAATTATTATAATATAAAATAATTTATAACCCTCCACTTTGTAAACAGAAATAAAAAAACTGTCTGTCAAAATACGTTATAAAATAAACATGTATAATTAATATTTGCATTATAATAATGAAAAATATGTTTAATAGCCCGACTTTATACTGTTTAATGTTTTCACTACTTTCCTGCCAACTTAACATAGTAACATTATACAATTAACTTTTACTTATAAATTAATGCTATATTTGAGCTACCATTATTATTTTTATAAAATTAATTTATTACAATATTTTGAAAATAAAATATTATAAGTATATTATACTTACCTCATGAAAATGCATTCAACATTTCATTCAAAACTAAACAAGTTATTTCTTTTACAATATTTCACATAAAATAATAACAAAAGTATATAGAACCATGATAAGTAATTAAAAAAAAAAAGTAAGAAACGCATTTCCCGAGAGATATCGGCTATTATAATAGTTAATAACACATTATAAAACCACTGTACTAAATAAATCATAACATATTATGTCAATGAGTAGATTAAATTATCTTTATGTACACGAACATCGTGCACAAACATTAGATTAGAAAAATAATGAACATATACATTTTCAATAAAATCTAAATACAAAAAATATCATTTAAGTGTCTGTAGACTGTAGTCTGTAGTTTTATGTGTTCTTAAATGACTGCATATTTATGAAATTAACTCAACAGATATTTCGAATTTCCTTGTAAGCTTCAAATAGTCAATTTGCTGGCACTGTTCCTCGTAAAATGTTTTGCTTGTTTCCAGGCATTCATTTCAATATAATAGATCAGTGAAATGTTTATAGACTGCAAAAAAACAAATTTCAAATATTAAATATTATTTTATCTAAATCTAAAATGTACTGTTAGTATATGATTATAATTTATTACGATATGTTATTACACAATGTACACTGAAACTTAAATATTACGAACTTTCATTCAACAACATTGTCTGTTTAACAATATATTTTTGTACGTACCAAATGTACCTATTTGAATATATTTAACGAAATTCTCTATAATAAGAATTTTTTTTTGTTGTAGAAGTATAATCGAACCTAAATATTCGTAATATGAAAGTTTCACTGTACTAACAAAAATAAACGACAAAAGCTTCCTCCTAAAAAAAATTGTCTTACTGTTCAATATTATAATTTATAATAACTTATATTCTTTTTAAGTCTATCACAGATTACATTTTATGAATATTTAGGTATTATAATGTGGTACTGTGTACTCAGACACCGTTTAAATATAAAATCGATTGTAATAAAGTGTTATTATTATTATCAGGACTTGACGATCGGTGTGGTTAAAAAAACATTTTTTTTTTTGTGTGTATAAACGTAAACGAATTACTTTTTACTGGCATATAATATGTAAAGGAATCATAAAACTAAACATGTAATATCTTATTTGTCGAAAAGCCAAATATTTTCCAGAGTTTTCGGCAGGAGTAGGATACATATCGAATCAGGAGAGTCCTGGTCGGTGGGATAGGGGGGGGGGGTCGTATACCGCCGAAGAATGTTTATGCCGTTATCCTTTCCGGCTGATTCTGTTTTACGAGCACCGTCGTTTTCTTTTTAGCTCGCGTGTATTTATAGTCGCCCCCGCCGGAGACGAAGACGGCGGTGACCGATCTGTTTAGGTTTCCGAGCACGTCCAGCCGAACACGGGTATATAGAAAACGAGCTAAAACCCCGCGACTTGGAGTGTGTGTTATAGCTTATAATTTATATTTTATATGTAATATCATATTTATAATGCATATTGCATTATTTAGCAAGTAATATATTTTGAATTTTGATATTATAATATCTTGGTGCGTATTATATTTAAAGTGTCAAACATACCGAGCGCAGGTGATAATATTATGTCCCTATCATTGGCCGATGCAAATCTTGAGTGAGGTGTGAATATGTGATACCTACGTCCTACTGTGATCAATCAGTAGGGTATCTTTGAGGTACCTACGGGCTACGGATGATTACGGTTGATTATGAGTGATTTGCTAAGAAGACAAATATGAGCGACATTAACCTATAGGTAAGAGAGTCCTCTAACGCAACACCCACGCATGCGTTGTCTCCGTCTTACAAATGCATAATAGGGAGCAGGGGTGTCTCCAAAATCAGGACAACAATCAACTGACTTTAGTGCCTCAGCCACCAACCCAAATGATTTGAAATAATTAAATAATGTATTAAAAAGATCGGTTAATGAAAATTCAGATTCTATGTAAAAAATAATTTTTTAAGCTTATAAAATTCACTGGTGAGGTGGTAGTCTCTCGCGGGACGGCGTCAGCGGGGAAAGCAGCTGATGTGCAGGCGGGAAGACGTTTGAAAAACCCTTGACCCCCCCCCCCCCTTCGAGCTGTTCTATGAAACAGCCGATTTTTCTATCATATTCAGCAGGCCTGATTCTATTAGCAAAAAAAATTTCGAGGAACCTAAAATAGGTAAGGTCAAACCGTCAGTAGCTCCTATAGACCAAAACATATTACATAATAAATTGTATATACGTTCCGAATAATCTAACTTCTAATTTCATTTAACTCAATTATGTTTAATATTAGAGTGCATTGACTCATTTGACCCATTATCAAATTTGAAGTGAATATACGTATATTACCTAGTGAATCTCTTAAGATTATAATTATATTTTCATTTTAAAAAGAGCTAGATATCATCGTTTTAAAATTATGAATCGTCAATTTACTTTAATATTAAACGTATAATAATTACAGGTAATAGAGTTAAATGGATTATTCAGAACGTTCAATTTTTGCTATTTCGTGTGTCTGTAAGACGAAGACAACGCACGTGAGTGTCTTAACTTCAGAATGCTTATGTTTGGGAAGAAAA